GCATGATATGAGGGGTCTTGCGACGATTGCGGCATGAGTGGAAGGAAAGCTGCTGCTTCTGTGTTTTGGGGCTTTAAGTGGAGAAGGCGGTGGCAGGAATGAGTGAAGTCCTGTCTCTAGTTATCTGTGAGAGTCTAAAGAGAGCAAGCATTGCGGCAGGATGGTTTATGCTCAAGCTTCCTATCTTCAGATCGTGTGCAGTAAGAGGCTCAGCAACGGAACAGTGACGGCACTCTGAGCTCGGGACCTTCCAGGCTGGTGATGTCAGCGGAGTTACTCCAGCTGTCCTCCCGGGAAAAAAGAAATGCTCTTTGTATTGCGGAACACTCATAGCAATCTTCGAAACTAAAATGCACTCCTATTTATGCTGTGTCACGCGGTTGTTCCAAAAACTCTGAGGGGAGATGCTCCACCTAGGGAGAATCTCCACTGAACATGAATCCGCCAGTTTAGGGAGAATCTCCGCTGTACAAAAAAATCTGCCTCTGGCGATGAAGGGTTTTCTGGGAGAAACTCCACCTGGGGGAGAGTCTCCTCCTCTGCTGCTTTTGGGGAGTCATCTCCTCCTTTTCCCCCTATGAGAGAGATACGTCCTCAGGCGGTGCCGATTTTGTCAGGGGAGAATCTCCTCCTGGGGGAGAATCTCCTCCTGTTTTACTTGAGGGGAGAGGCTCCTCCTTTATCTTTCTCAGGGGAGAATCTCCTCCTGTTGTGAGCTCAGTCCTCCTGCTGAGCCTGTAGGCGGCTGCTTTGCACTTCCCACTCAGCAGCAGCTAAGTTGAGAGTTCTGTCCTGTGCGAAAAATCTCCCGCGGACTTCTTCTGTTGATTCCAGATATTGCGTCCGGAAGGGCTCCACCAGCAGCCGGGCCGTGTAGGCTCCGATGTAGGTTTCGTGTGCAAGTGCTGAGCCTGAGCGGCGAACGCGTCGGATTGGAGACGCGCCGCCGCCAAGTAGGTGAGGCTCAACTCCATCAGTGCCCTCCGTCTGCGGCGCCGAATTTCTTCCCACTCTCCGTATCCGTGTAGGACGCTCAAGTGTTGCATGAGTGTGCGGACGCCATCTGGGGGGAGCAGCTCCGCCGCCAGGCACATAAGTTGGTCTTTGGTCATTATCGCCAAAGCCTGAACCCTTACCTCCAGATCACGGAGGGCCTCACCGGGGAGCATCTCTGTTCCGGATGAGGCCAGGTGCCTGTGCAGGAGTCCCGCAAAGGTGGGAATCAGAGCCAGCGTTAGCTGGGTTGGGCTGCAGTCGTACACCATGTTGCTGCGAGGGACTGCTGAACTGCTTGAATCACTGAATGGCTGTGGCTGTCAAAGACGTTGGGCCGTAATGGAGTAACCGAGCTGAGGAATGAACTAAAGCAGCTGTACTGGCAGTTGCTGGCTGTTCTGTCCTTGTGTCCTTGGAGATCGGCGGATGATATACCTGGCGTGATGCAGAAAGCGGGTAAAGGTTTTGTGTTGGGGAGCTATAAAACTGTTGAGGTCTTGTTTAGACTCTGTCGCAAGGCTTTAGGGGAGAAGCTCCTCCTGTACAGCAATGACTTGAGAGTACTGAAGGGAGCTACTCCACCTTGTTGGGGGCTGCTGGAATGTGTGATTCACTGAATGGCTAAACTTCCAAGGCCTAAGGCTTGACTAGAGTTCCCAAGCTGTCTGTCTCTGGCAGTTCTGTCCTCCTGTGCTCCAAGGTCAGCAAATATGTACCTGGCGTGGTGCAGTGCTTTAGTAGTTTTTAGTTTGGGGAGTTCAAACTCTATTAACGTCTGATTTTTGACACTGCGAGGGCTTGAGGGGAGAAGCTCCGCCTGTACAACAGAAGACTTGAAATGCTGAGGGGAGCTACTCCGCCTGGTTGTCAGACCTTCTCATGAAAGCCGACTTCACCTACTCGTGAGGTGGGGCTGACTACTGAGCGGGTTTGATCTTAGATCAAGTCCCTGATCTGACGAATCAAGGGTGACGGTTGCAATCCCTGTTTTTGGAAATCGCAATTGATTAAGGTGAAAGCCGAGTTGCCTACTAATGACTGAAGAGACTCCACCACCTCCGAACTGGAAGACCTTGCTGAGAGCTGAAGTTGGAGCCGAACAGGCCCTCCTGACATCGTCTCCGTGAGAGGTCGCGAAGTACGAAATAGAGTGACATGGTCCGGGTCTGTCGAGATTCTGGCTATGATGTCTCCCAGGCCTGAGACTACCTGCGATGTGCTGAGGGGTTCGTCGAGTGTCTCAACCATCGATTGGTCCGATGCCGACCACTCCAAGAAAGGCCATTCTCCATCAGAGTTCAGAGTCCCATCTCTGATTAGTTGGGCTTGCATTTCCTTGTCTTTGCTCACTGCGATCAGTCTGTCCTTCAGCTCTCTGAACAGCTTGAGTGTCATGGCCGTCTTGGGAG